TGCAAGAGCCAGATCGTCATGGGTCCCCTCTGCTGCCTGGAATCCATTCTCACTCTGCATTGAGAGCCCCACCATGTCTCTCTCAGTTGCTTCTAACCCTTCTGTGACTCAGCCTCAAGAAGTGCAAAAGTCTTCAGGGTCTGTCTCCATCCCCCTCCAGGTCTGTCTCCCTCCCCCTCCAACCTCTTCTCTAGCCTCCCCTCCCTACTTCCCCAACTCTGCTCCAGTCTTGCTAAACCCACTCCTGGCTTTGCTTCACACATGCCCTGTCTGTCATACCAGCCTGCTGTCATGCAGTTAGAATTAAGTGAATCCCTCTATTCCAGATTCAACTTAGATACCACTTCCTTCAGGAAGCCCTCCTGATAGCCTTGCTCATACACATCTGTGTGTCCCTTCTCTGAGGGCCCATAACACCCTGTAATGGACTCCTATCCCAGTGCTGCTGATGCCGAATCATGTTACACAGGGTGTCCCTTCTGAGCCCCTGCTTCCTTCCGGAAGTGGGAAGCTTGTGCCCAGATATGCCTTGACATCACTGACTGTCACTGTGAGGAGGTCAGTCACTCTTCGCTGCTTCTCCATTACTCTGACTGCTCAAAAAGAACGTGCTTAGTGCTAGTCGGTCTTCTACCCCCATGCCACCTGTTAATCTCTCTTTTCAAACACTGCCATCTTGGGTGCTTGGGTAAGTGACAGGACCTAGCTCGAATTTAGAGCATCGTTTCGTTTCCATTGTATTTGCCATTATTTATGGAACTCTATTTACAAAAAGCAACATAAGTTTTTCTTACATGTGGACTAATTCGGCTTTTAAAAAATGAATTTGTGTGAGCAAGGGAAGTAAATGAGTTTTTGAAAGTTTGGCCAGTGGCTCTTCAGATGGTGCACGTGGAGATAAATGCAGCCACACACATGCCTGCACACGTTTATACACAACTGTGAAGGTCCCTGCGTGACAGAAATCCTGTCAGCCACACAAATGAGTCCTTGAGTCAGGAGACCAGTAGCACTGCCGTGTGCACTAATTACTTCTGTGACTGGAAGAAAAATTACCTTTCCATTTTTCAGTTCACTTATCTAAAAAGAAGAGAATAACTCTGGGATATAAAATGATATGGTTTCAGCTAGGTGTGGTGGTGCATGCCTGCAATCCCAACTACCGTGGGAGGTGGAAGCAGGAGGATCTGGAGTTCAAGGCCAGAGTGGGCAAAGATGTCAGCGAGAGCTCATCTCACAAAGAAAACCAAACCAAAAAATGGCTGGGGGTGTGGCTCAGTGGTAGAGCACTTCACCTGAGAGGCCCTACCTAGTTTTAATCCCCAGTGTGTGTGTGTTTGTGTGTGGGGGGGTGGGATTTGGCTTCATGCCCAGATACTATCTCTCATCCTGCTCTTGAAATATAGAAATACCATTGCAGAAGAAGAACCTGGGGGTGAACTTACTCTACAGATCAGAGATCAGAGGTGCAAAGAGGATAAGTGACTTGCCCAAGGTCACCCTGCAATTTAACATCAAAATCCAGGTTTCTCCTCTCCTGGTGGTCCACTCCCCCCACCAGTCTGATACCCTTGACCCCTGTATATTCCCTTCCCCAGATAAATTTCTGCCAAACAAATTACATATTTACAAAGCCCAAACACACCCACAATATATAAAGATATCCTGAATGAATGGAAAATCAGATAATAATAAAAGTAGTATTAGATTTCAGAATGTTAACACTATTGCATCAGGAATCTGTGTACCTAAAAGCTGAAGAAACACATTACAGGGCTTTTCATGGTGTTGCAGTTCTTTACTTGTTCTTTATTTGATTGGAGACAAGGAACCAGGAGTCAAGCAGCCCTGGAACCTTAGGAGGAAGATTAATTAGGATAAAGAGGATAACTAATTCATGGCTATGAGATATGTATACTAAAACCTGCTTAGATACCAGAGTCAATCACCCTGTGGATCACATACACACACAGAAAAAGAGAGAGAGCATCAACACAATTCCAAGGGGAATAGTAAGCCCACATTTTGGTGCATGTGTGGTGTGGTGCAGGAGATCGAACCCAAAACCTCGACCAGGCTGGGCATCCCCAGCGCTTGCCCACATTTTACGCCGTTAAAGACTATCTTAGCAAACGATTTACATGTAGAATATACAATGCACAATGTTTTGCTTGTTGAAAAAATAATAGTCTTAACCTTGTCTTTGCAAGCAATATTGACCACTTATGTCTGACCTGGTTATAGGCAAATTTACCAGATTTACAAATAAATCAAATGCAGTCGGAAATTTTTAACCAAAACTTCCAGTGAATTGTAGAATGAATAGATATAATGTCCTTCACATATGTGCATATGCATATGTGCATGTCTGTGTATCTTTACTGCAACTGAGAAAGATCAGGCCAAACAGAAGTTCATGTGAGAAAACGTACAGCTGCAAGAAGTCTAAGCTTAACGTGAGCCAAGCTTAAGACGTGACTTCTGGGAAGAAGAAACACCATAATCAAACTAGAGCTCCAACATTAAATTATATCAGTTAGAGTCTTATCCACCAGCCAGCATCAAAAGCCTGGTGCAGTTCTGGGAAGCACATTTTCAGAGGAACAGCATCACATCTGGCCAGAGGAGAATGCTCAGTCAGTGGGAAAAGCTGGAGCTCTGTAACCCGAGTTGGACGGGGAATGGCTTGTGGCATGGGTTCCAGGGCTAAGCGAGCCTTCCTCAAATACACAATGTGTAACTGTTCTGGAACGCATGTGCCCTGAGCATCCCTCGGGAATGTTGTTGAAAGGACTCTGCATGTGAGATTAGACTGGCTAGCCTCAACCACAGCACTCCTCCCAGTTCAGGGATTTTATAGCTTGTGGTGGGAGCAACACTGAATCTGCTTTACATAGCATTGGATTAAATCATTTCATTTCCTTTCTGGGGAAGAACACTGTCTACAGTAGAGATGATCTGATAATCAACCAAACCTCTAAGAGAAAATATGCACTTATGTGTAGACTATCTTGGTGACGAGAAGATGCAGTGGTGACTCAGTGCACCCCTTTGTTCCATCCCACCAAACATCTACTCAGCCCAAAAATGCTAGAAACGAAGGGCAGATGGCCTGACAGTCCAATCTAAGCTGCTAGGCATCAGGTTGGAAGACCGATGGCCAGACCCCCTCACATGGGGACACACTGTTCAGAGCAAGGTGATCCACCTGCCACAGGATGACTGGAGTCACTTACCAAATGTGCACGTTCCTAGGTCACATCCCTGGCCTGCTGACCCAGAATTATTCAAAGCAGGAACCAGAAAGTCCATATTCAACAGGTTCCTGGTGTGATTCTTATGCTCACGACCTGAGAAGCATAGTCTTACACTTCTTACGCTTAGGACTTTATCCGAGTCTGACCCTTGTCTTCTGGACATTCATGTGCACTCAGACCACATGGTGAGCTTCCAAGAGCCAGGGCTCTGGGCTCCACAGATTCTGATTCAGAGATTTTAGGTGGGACACCAGAATTTGCATTTCAGGCAATCTCACAGGTGATGCTGATGGGTTTTGTTGTTGTTTTGGGGGTTTTTTGCAGACTGGGGTTTGGACTCAGAGCCTACACTTTGAGGCACTCCACCAGCCCTTTTTTTGTGATGGGCTGGCCTTGAACCACGATCCTCCTGATCTCTGCCTCCTGAAAACTAGGATTACAGGTGTGAGCCACCAGCACCCAGCATACTGATGGTTTTGATCAGTGAACATACTTGGCATTCGTGCCTTAGAGAATTCTAAAGAACTCAGTTACAATGGTAGGCAGCCCCCAAAATAATCCCCAGTGCTTCCCCACCTCTTGGTATTCATGCCCTTGGTGACCACCCCCATCTTCTGTGGGCTAGTGACTCACTTTCAATGGAGTGAACTTAGGTAAAGCTGAGGGGATATCACTTACACGATCAGGTTATGAAAAGACACTAACTTTGTGCCCTGTTGCCATTATCTCATTACCTCTTGCTCACTGATGAAGTAAGCTACCATGTTGTGAACGGCCCCATGGGGGATGTCCACATGGCAAGGAATTATGGGCAACTCCTGGCCAATCACCATCGAGGACAGACTACTGCCAGCAACCACACGAGTGAAATTGGAAGAAGACTCTTCTCCAATTGAACGTAAGATGACTGCATTCCAGCTGAGGCCTCTATTGCAGCCTTGTGAGCCACTCTGAGCCAGCGGACACAGGGAAGTCACAATTGGATTCCTGCCCTACAGGGGCAGGAATATGGGACAGATAATGAGTGTAGTTTCAAGTCACTTCATGTGCTACATAGCAGTAGGTAACTAACAGAGGTCTTTGTAAAGGAGCTACCTTGAAATCAGTAAGACATCTTGGTATTTAATCCATTCTTTAAGCCTCCTGTCTCATTCGCCCCCATGATAAAGGAGACAAAATGTGTGTGTGAATGTAAATGGTCAATATTTAATGATGTACACTGTTTACAGGTAATTTATAGCATCCTTTTCTTAATGCTCAATTTTCAAGCCTTGGCCCTGGGAAGACTTCCCTAGAGTTGCAGAGGGTTATGTGGGAACACAGCTTCAGGCACGATGGAGATGACCAGCCCAGTCAGACCTTGCACCTGTGTGCTCCACCTGGCTGTTCTGAGGCTGTGTCTTTTTTGCTCAAAGCATGCTGAATTCTCTCTTGCCAGTGCCTGTCGTAAGCATGAGGCATGACACCTCCTTTGGTTTTGAAGAAAGAAAAGAAAAAACTAAGGTCTCCTTTGCTGGCAGGGGGTGGGAGGGGTTTTTCCCTGAGAAGACTGGTGAAGGGCACAAACTCCACCCTGCTTGCCTTTTCACCAGCACAGTTCTGATTTCCTCACTGGGGGATAGAAGGGAGGAAAGTTTCCAGGGGAGATGGCTTCTCATTTTCTCCAGAAGTATGGTGAGAAAGTACATTTCAGAAGCTGTTGGTATGGAAGAGCCACAGTCACCTGGAAAGGCTCTGGATGCAAATCCTGGAGCCAGGACTTATCACAGCTCCATCATCAGCTCCTTGGAGGGCTATGGGCCCCTTTCCCTGTGGGCTTCGCTCTTCTCCTGGTAAGATGAGAGGCTGGGCAGGTACTGACTCAGACCCTCCCGATTAGTATATAAGAGCCTGGGGTACAGAGAGGGGCAGCATCTGGTTATGGCAACTGGTCAGAAATGGGGACAGCTCTCCTCAGAGGGCCAGGCCCCCACTACTCAGCCACCGTGCCCTCTCTGAGGAGCACCCTGAGGGATGGCTGCGCCACAGGGAGCTCCGGCAGATGTTGTCAAGCCTCCTCCTAATGGTGTCCTGCAGTTGCTCGTCACCCAACAGGACTGCTGCAGCCAGGGCCAACAGGAAGTACTCAGTGGCATCGTGGACATCCTAACCCCATGGTGTGGGGGCAAAGAAGAGACAGCATTAGCAACACTTCCTGACAGCCTGAGAGGTGGCGCTGGGAATGCTAGCTTTTTTCTACGCAGCACTCCATCTTCATGTCCTGTTCCTTAGAGGAGCTCCACTGTGGTCCCACTGGCATTGCTAAACACAATGTCACTCTTCCTTAGGCACAGAGGTGGCTTCTTACCCAGGCTTAGCCAACCATGACACATCGTTGCTCTGGACATAGTGTTTCAGGGATGTATTCATGACCCAAACCTGACCTATCAGTCAGTGGGATCTAACAAGGAAAATGGTCTCATCCTTTTGGATGTCAGCTGAAGCCTTCCAGTAGCCAGAGGGGAAGAAGGCCAAGAAACACAGAGAAGTCAAAACATAAAGACTCAAGGGAGTCTTTATGAGAGATGGGAAATCCATGGTGTTGTTGTAGACCAGGATCCAGAATTACCTGAAACTACGTCTGTACCTTGGCTTTCCAGTTATGAGTCCATAAATAGCTGGTCCTACTTGAACAACCTTACGGTTGTTTCCACAATCCCTAGTGCCCTCCGTTGATGAAATAAGACCACGCGTACTCTGTGTCTAAACCATGTCCTGTGAGAAAGATGACTTAAGAGCCCTCACCTTCCCTGTCCCTCCCAACATGGCCAAGATGAGAAGCAGATGTTTCTTGAGGTGAGGCTCAAAAAGAGGCATCTGGTTTTCATTAATACTCATAAATCAATAATTAATTCAGGTCAGAAACAAAGTCTGACCAATAAGGAAAGGACAGCAGAGCAGCCCTGAGTGTCCCTTAGGGGGTTAAACAGAAGCAAGAAGTCACTGTACTCAGAGAGTAAGGGTTGTGTCACTGTAGTAAGAGACAGGGACATCTGGTAAAGGAAAATCAAATTTGGGGACACAGTTCTAGAGTCAGCATTGTAACAAAAAAATCACAGACCACCAATACAGTTCTAGAAATGACTAGAAAAATAAGAAGCTGTAGGTTCAACTCTAGCCCTGCAAGTGGGAGAATTAGGGCACAGGCTTTCTTAGGACCTGAATATACTTACATTGAAGGTCCCACATCTCATTATCTCAAACACACTGATCCGCACCTACATTTCTCATGAGATGGAGTTTTATATAATGCTAAAAGAAATGAGTTGCAGTTGACCTATAACTGTGTGTGTGTGTATGGTACTGGGGCTTAAACTTAGAGCCTACATCTTAAGGCACTCCACCAGCCCTTTTTTGTGAAGGGTTTTTTTGAGATAGGGTCTTGTGAACTGTTTGCCCGGGCTGGCTTGGACCGTGATCCTCCTGAGCACTGCCTCCTGAGTAGCTAGGATCACAGATGTGAGCCACCGGCACCCAGCTTGACCTATAACATCTTGTGAACATAAAATTAAGAATTATTCATTTCAACTTTGATCTTGGAACTTAATTCTTGGGGGAGGGGGGTGTCTATATTTTCATAGGTCCTCGAGGGGCTCACAGGCACTAGACAATGTGCCCAGCATTCCTGACAGGTGAAGCAGCCATAGGGATTATAGCAGGGCAAGGAGAAAGAGGAGCTGTGGTCCATCTTCTCAGCAGAGATAAGAGTACCTTTGACATCTCCAGTGGGGCTTACTGGAAAGAGCCATTGTGTCCCCCAGGGAACAGTCCCCCGCCACCCTACCAGTGGAGACTTCCCATCTTGGCCCTCTAGTCCTCTCAACTCCACCCCAAAGGCTTCTTACCTTCCTTACATGGGTCAGGAAAGAGTATGAGAGTATGGAGAGTAGGTCAAACATGGCCTTAGAAGTGTGCCCCTTACCTTTAGCTGGTAGAAGGTGAGACGGCCCAGGCGATAATACACCTTGGCGTAGTACAGAGCCTCCTTGGGACTCTGCAGCCATGGTGGGCAGAGGGACAGAGTCTTTAGGTAGCAGTCCTCGGCCATCTCATACATGTGCAGTGAGTGGTACACAGTGGCCAGGCGGTGAAAGGCCACCAGCTCCTGCTTCCGATCTCCTAGGAATTAGAAGACTGAGAGGGATGTCCTGCAGCCGGCACTTTCATTATTCATTTACCCATTCACTCCATCAAACTTTCTGTAGATCTACTAGATGGCAGGGATTGTGCCTAGGGCATAGAAAACAACACAGAGGCAGTCCCTGTCCTCATGAGGCTTTTTGTCTCAGGTCACAGACATTCCTTAAATAATCCCACCCAAAAAAAAAAACAATGTAAAACTGCGCCTGTGAGAAGTGCTACAAAAGAAAGCACAGGACTCAGAGTAACTAAGTAGCATGTATCCTGGTCAAGGTTCTCTGGGATGATTTCCTGAAGAAACTGCCTCCTTATTGAGGACGACACTGTAATTCAGGAAAAGAATTTTTTTTTAATGGTACTGGAGTTCGAACTCAGGGCCTACACCTTGAGCCACTCCAGCAGCCCTTTTTTTATGATTGGTTTTTTCAAGATAGGGTCTCAAGAACTATTTGCTTGAGGCTGGTTTTGAACCAAAATCCTCCTTGATCTCTGCCTGCTGAGTTAGCTAGGTTTACAGGCAAGAGCCACTGGTGCAAGAATTATTTTTTAATTCCTGTGATAGGATGAGGTGACAAGAATAGATTGATTGAGCAGATAGGACTAACTCTGGATAACAGGTGCCTTCTCTGCATAAAATTTCTCTCAGAGAGCTCCCCTGGACTACCACCAAGGAACAGCCACGCACTCGCTCGTTACCAGCTCTGTCTCCCTTATGCTACAAAGACCCCTTCACGCTCAGACCATGCTTCAAAACACTGGTTTCTAATGGGTGTTTTGGGATTTAGTGAGTTTATTGTTTTAGTAACTAACATGTTGATAAAAAGTGATCTTTTACAGGGAATAAAGGTTTACAATCTAATCCAAGGTGGCTATTGGTGCCATCTAAGAAACATTGCTTTTTAAGTTTCAAAGGACCAACTTTAAAAAAAAAAAAAGTTCAAAGGAAAGAAAAGTCTCTGATATGGAAGAATCTAGTCACAGAGAAGCATGCATTGAAGACTTCTTTGGGTCTTGTCCAGGCAGGGATAAAGGACACTTAGATGGTGCTGACCCACTGCATCCCTAAGACCTTTCCTGAGATTAGCAGACGGCTGCTCAGATGAGGTTTTCTGTAGTAAAGTTTAAGGTAGAGGGTAGGAAAAAGAGAGAGAGAGAACTTTCAGGTACAATAAAGCCCAGTCACATCCACATCAGATGTCCTCAAAAGCCCAGAAGTCCTTCCCAAAAGACTTCATTTAGCCCTACATCTAATCACGGCTTCTCTGATCAAAGCTGCTTTTTTTTCAAGCACTGACACTCAAAAAGAGGTTGTTTTTAATCTTTTTGATTCTGTCTTTTCTCTGTTTTAATAACTTACATTGTTTCCCACTAGATTTTGCTATAAATGCAAGTTGTTTCAAATATGTGTGACTTAGATTAATGGGAACTTGACCTTCAATTACATTTCTAGTCCATGGGAAAATGTGCTTTTGACTAAAAATTAATTTAAAATCAGGACTGAACTGGTGAAGTGGCTCAAGTGGTAGAATACTTGCCTAGCTAGCAAGCATGAGACCCTGAGTTCAAATTCCAGTACCAGAAAAATAAATAAACAAATCAGGGCACAATCCTTATGTAATGGGGACACTGCCTCATTAGGAATAAGATAAAATAACATTTACCTTATACTTAGGAAATAATAGTAACTGTGAAATAAGAATTAGTGAGGCACAGGCAACACTGATGGAGGATATATGTCCCTAGTGCAGTGCTATGTCTTTTACATGGACTACCACTAGTATTCACAAAAACTGCGTAAGGCAGGCACTAGTTTGAATCCTGCTGTGCTGACGGTGAATGAGGTTAATGGAAGCTAAGCAGCTTGCTTCAGTATGTCACCCCTAATGATTAGAACCCACAGAGCCTGAATCCCAAGCTGGTACCCACCGCTTTGCTAGCCAGCCTTGAGTCACGTTTACCCTCCCACACAGTGCACCTGACGCTTAGGACACCTACCTGTGACTACACTTAGCCTGGCAGCCAGGGTGGCAAATTCCAAAGCCTTCTCATGACCCTTGAGGCTGATCTCTAGCTCGGTTAGCTTGTTGAAAACCCGGAGCTCGGTTCTCACCGCCTTCATCCTCCTTGCTAAAGGAACAGCCCCAGCCTGAGGACAGAGGCATGGGGACATTAGTATATAGCACATGCCGGCTCTCAGAGGACTCTGCTGGTAAGGCTTGGGGATGGCCACCATGTTTTCACTTATGCCTTTTCTCAAGTGCCTCTCCTGTGCCTTGCTCTTGGTGTTTTGTTCAGATCTTCCAAGTTGAAATAGAGGTCATCAGACCTCCTAAAATTGGGGCAACTGAAAGCAGAAAAGGACTCTTTCTAAGGTCATTTGGGAAGTAATTCACCTTTTAGCACCCACAGCAGCAACTGATGAGGTGCACATATGAGCACACACAGTGTCTGACAGTGCTCAATAAATGGTCGCTTCTATTAATTTTATTATGAAGGAATGTTAGACAAATCACTTTATCTCTGAGCATTGTTTTTCTAACCCATCAGGGATGTGTTCCTTTTCTACCCACCTCTAGTTCAGCACCTGGTACTCACTGGGTGTCTGATGATGCTTGATGACTAAATAAACAACTGAACAAATGAATTCATAGCTGAATAAATGAAATTTTAGGATCAAATAAGACAATAAGGTTTCTCAAACTTCAGTCAGTGATGAACAACAATTGATGTATCTGCTTAATATCTGGACATGTATTTAATTCGTATTATCTTAAGTCAGTTCTTATTTTCTTGCCTCATCTTTTGCAATAAGATCTGTGTGAGTCATGGATTTGATGAGCTGGTATTATACACCTCAAATTTTTATAGTTATATTTTAAATACATGCCTATTAAAAAGAAAATTGTTTTTAGTGTCCATCCATGCACCCCTTAAAATCACCTACCACTAAGCCACCACAAGTAAGTGGAGAATGCTGATAAACATGGAAGCATTCTACAAACCGTAAAGCACGACCAGCCAAGAAACATAATTACGAAGGTGTATTAACCCAAGAACGACCATTTCCCAATCCTGGGAGTGACTACATTGAAGAGAGGGTGAGTATATGAACACTGGACCAGAAAGGGAAGAAAAAGAAATACAAGTAGGAAAGAAGGACCTGGGGCAAAGTCCAGTGTGTTCCTGCCTACATCGGTGCCAGGGCTCAGCACACAGCAGCCTGGCTCACCCGGTAATACTCCACTGCACGGTGCCTGTGGCGGGTCCCATTGAAGAACACGTCACCTGCTTCTTCATAGAGTTTGAGAGCCAGGGAGGGTTCCTCTGATCTCAAGGCTGTCTGGATGGCCGCCTGGATGTGACAGAGAAGGCTGTTAATGGCAAGAGAAGGACCTCCAGACCTCCACAGACTACCTAGTCTGACCATCTACCAAAGGCCCCTAAATCTGGAATTGGCCTCACACATATAGGGCTGGATAGATTCTCTATCTGCCTGTTCCTTATCATGGTGTGAGAGAATTCGTTTGGTGATAGAATTTTCAGAAGTACATAGATAAACTCTATGCTTTAATAGTCAGGTGTTTATTTTAATGGATTTTAGGAAAAAGGAGTAATAATTCATTAAGCTAGTGATTTCAGACAGCATTGTGTAAAGCTAAGTGGAGGGGTGGGGGTGCTTTGAAGTTGAGTCAAAGGAAAACAAGTAAATAGTGGTACAGAATGTGCACGGGTAGAGCAAAGCCATGAACTTAACACAAAAATGACCGAAAGTGGAAATCAGGGATCGTGCTTGTCCACCACCTGTATTTTCCAGACAGAGACAGAGAGACTCAGGGAATACAGAACCTCTCCAAGTTCACACCAATAGTGGCAAACAATTGCCCCAGCCCTGACAACCCCCTTGGTGTAGACGTCACCTCTCTGGTTCCAGCAGTCAATGTGGAGGGAACAGCTGCCTCCTCCAATGGCCAGAGTCAGCAGCTCCCCACCCACCTGCAGGTACAGCTCCACCAGCTCATCTTCTTGAATGAGGTAGTAGAGGCGACCAGCCCCCAGCCAGGCCTCTGCAGCCTTGTCTTTCTCCCCCAGGTCAATGAATATACGCAGGCTGTTCTTGATACAGGTGAGGGACTGCCTGAGGGACCTGGGGGGCAGACATGGACCTGTGAGGTATGAGTGATCAAAGGAGCTCAGAGGTCACTGGCCCAGAAGGACATTGAGCCTCTGAAAGTATACAACCTTGTCCCATACCACACAGAGAGGCTAGGGCCTAATTTGAATCCCAGCTCTGCAGGCTGTGTGACCTTGAAAAAGTACAGAACCTCTCTGTGCCTTGTTTCCCCATCTGTAAAAATGGAAATGTAACTGTACCTTCCATACAGGATTATCATGAGGACTGAGGAGAGAATAATACTAGAATGTTTAGAATAGTGCTTATCAATCAATGCACACTTGAGGAATATTTAATTATCATTATTACTCACCCATGGTCACTCAGTCTTTGGACTACACTGTTACATTTTTCACAAGCTCCTAATCCACAGTAGAACAGAATGAATAGATGAATGAGTGACCAAAGTATTGCCTTTAAATCATCAAAAAGATTTTGATATATTGTTAAAAAGAAATATCAAAGTAGGTTAAAATTTTTAAAGTCAGTATTTAAATTACTGCTCTTTAATTATTTGGAAAATTTCACTATGTAGAAAACTCTTCCCCAAGGCAAGGATGAATGAAGAAATGAGGCCATGTTGAACACATTCAGAGTTTGAGAACTAACCAGAAGGAACCCAGCAACATCCATATAGGAGTTCTCAGTCCCAGCAGCAATGAGAGTCACCCGGGGGCTCTTCAAACCCACACAGAGCCAAGCCCTAAACCCACCCCGGCATGTGGAAATGTCATGTTAGCATGGGCCCTGGATTCTCTGGCCCAGCTACCAGCATTTCATCCAAGCGTCCTTGTGATTCCACTGTGCAGTATGGTTGAGGTTTGCTGATGTGGCCCAACCCCTTCTTTTATAGAGGAACCAAAACCAGAGATAGAAAGCAATTTACACAAGGTTGCATAGCGCACACTAGGCAGAGAACCAAGACCAGAACTCCCTTCTTCTGAGAGCCAGCCTGAAACTCAGCTGACACCACCCACATTTCTCAAAGCGTGACGTGACTCATGGCCCATCTGCACCAGCATTACCTGGAGAGCTTCATAAAGCCTCAGACACCAAGAGCTACCTCAGACTGAATGAATCAGAATCATCACAGTTACAGTCCAGAAATCTGAATTCCTAAGACACACTTTGTTTATGCTCAAGTGCACCAAAGCTTGGGAATCCCTGTGGCAAACCACGCATATCCTTCTAGAAACTGATCAGTATCAACTGGATCTTGTGAAGACTTAAGTATGAAGTTCTTATCAAACTCGGTTACTGGTACCACCTGCTGTGGTTTCCATGTGGCTTAACCCGCAAAGGTCTGTTTGTTGGAACCTTGATCTTCTAAGTGCTTGTTACAGTTTGTTAGAAAATGGGCCCAGAGGCTCGGCTCGTGTATTGAAGACTTCATCCCCAGCTGATGGCGCTATTGACAGTGATTGGGTCACGAAGGTGCTGACTTCAATGGATTAACCCATTGATGCGTTCATAACTTAATGGGCTATTAGGAGATGGGGAACAGTTGGAGGAAGTAGGTCCCTGGGGGTGTGACTTTGAAGGGTATATCTTGTCCCTGACCCCTTTCTCTCTTGCTCTCTCTCTACTCCCCAGCTGCCACGAGGTGAGCAGTTTTCTCTGTTACGTGTTGCTGCTATTGTGGTAAAGTACCTCACAAAAACCCATAGCAATGTAGCCAATTGACCTTGGACTAAAACCTAAAATAAATTTTGCCTCCTTTTAGTTGGTTTTCTCAGGTATTTTTGGTACAGTGATGAAAAATGATTTAACATAGTGGCAATGCTGAGAGGCAGTAGGACTTTAAGATGTGAGGCTGAGCCCAAGGTAATTGAGTCATTAGGCCATTGCCCTCAAAAAGGACTCCATAGTCCTCCTGGGACCCTGATCATTTACCACAGGAGTGAGTGCTGTGAAGAGCAATGCTGAGCTCCTCTTCCCCCTACCTCTGGGCTCTGGCTTCCTCTTACCTCTTTATTTTCACCATTGTAATGCCATAAGCCATGTGGCCTTTACCAGAGCTGGGGTGATGATGACAATAGTTTTTGAAGCTCGAAAACTGTAAGCTAAATAAAACTTTTTACTCATTATCCAGTCTCAGACATTTTGTGATAGCAATGGAAAATGGATTAATATACCACCTCATCACAGACAACTCAGTCACCAGGCCCCCTTTCCACAGTCAAGCATTCTCTTGCCTGATGACCCATGATCCTTTTTGACAGTTGCTGGCCTTCTGGAGAGAAGGCCAGGCATTTGGCACATGTAAGAACTGGGGAGGAAGAACTCAAGTTTTCCCTGCTGCCCTGCCTTTGATAGAAGATTATTGGCTTCCAGGTTGGGCATTGACCTGTCCCAAGTATTAATGTCAAATTTACTGCTGGGATTGTGCCAGGAGCTGAGAAGTGCCGCATATGGCTGCAGCAGTCACCCACCTCCCAGCTGAGCTATGATAACTAGAGGCCTTTTTCACCATGGGAAACCCTGTCCTTCTTTCCCCTGCTCTGCACTCTAGGACCTCAAGCTGGGTTAAGAGGTTTGCAGACCTGGCCTCCATTGCTCTCCCCACTCTCACTGGAATGGGTGATGAAAACAGGACCCATAAATCTCATCCTGATGCTATTTCCTGCTGTGTTTTTATTATCACTTGCTGTCCTGGAATATCCTTGAGCTGAAGTTGTTGTCTCCAGACCCTCCAGGAGCAAGATCAGGACTTTTATGGAGAAGTCAACTCACAGAGCAGGCATTGCTTTCTCAGGGTGGAAAAGAGGGGATAAGCATCTTTCTCTAAGAAACACCCCAGTGGGGGGAAGGTAAGACTCATCAAGACCCAGCTACTACACAGCACTTTCCAGACTCCATGCAAAGGGAGGATATTCTAAATACAACTGATTCTCACCAAGATGTACTTCTGACCCATGACCTCCACTAAAAGCAAGTGTCTAGCCAGGCACCAGTGGCTCACACCTATAATCCTAGCTACTCAGGAGGCAGAGATCAGGAGGATCATGGTTTGAAGCCAGCCCAGGCAAATACTTCACAAGACCCTATCTTGAAAAAAATCTATCCCAAAAAAAGGGCTGATGTGGGTCAAAGTATAGGCCCTGAGTTCAAACCCCAGTACCACAAAAAAAAAAAAAAAGCAGTGTCTTTTTGGTGTAAAACTGGAAGGTGGTCTCCAGCTCCCTTGGTTCTTTCTTAACTTCTTAGCACCACTCACCACCCCATTATCTCACATCTGCTAGTGGCTGCTGTGTCCCCCACCTGCTGAACCACAGGCTTGGCCTGGACTGGCCAGCATCCCAGTTCCTCCACCACCACTGGCAGACTCTAAATCTGGTTTGGCTTCCAAATCAAAAGAAGTAAGGAGTGCAGGACAGGTCACTAGCACCAATTCATTCATGTGCAGTCTCCTTGCCTTTCCAACCTTGATTCTAGTCTTTTACTCATTTTTTTCTGCCCCCAAGTTCAGTCTCTAGAGCTTAGTCCTTGTTTCTTCCTTCTGCCTAAGCACTAGCTGTGCTGACCAACTCTATGGCCAAATGACTCCAACACCTGCAGTCCCAGACATTCTCTTTCCAACCCTACAGGGCTTGCCAAATCTCTGTGCTGCCTGGATGAATCTGTTTGACCTCTGACCAAAGCCCAGAGGACTCCACTAAGTGGTTCTGTGCTGTTCTGATAAAAAGAACTGCCACTTTCAAAGTGCTGCCCCTCTGCTAGTTATTGGCTATGGTACACATTCACTCCTTCAATCCCCCCAGAAACTCTAAGCCAATAGGATTCTTGGCTCATTTTGTAAATTTTTTTTAAAAGTGTTTTTTAAAAATTATCCAAGTTTCCCTGCTCATTTCTAAAGCTTTATTTGGAAATTTCTTCTGCATTGTCTAATAATAATAATAATAGTGGCAGTGTTATTTCCTAAAATACACTGACAATGATTGAGCATTTAGCACTTCCTAAGGGATTTACATGCATTATCTTATTTAGTCATAGCAATAGCCCCAAGAAATCAGTACTGTATTTTACAAAATACAAAAGATCAGTAAGGCTCAGAAAGGGTAACTAGGATAAGATAATAAACCCTATTAAGCCTTTTCTTCTTTTTCAAAGATAGGGTCTCACTATGTAGTGTAGCCTCAAACTCTCCATCTTCCTGCCTCAGCTTTCTGAGTACTGGGATTACAGGTGTGCACCACCAAACCCAGCTGACTTTTGCTTGCGTTCACCACTTAAAAAAAGAAACCTGAAGTTGTTAAGGACATAAGCAATTTGAAACCTTGGACAGAGTTTCCTCATCCGCAAAAGTAGGCGGGGTAGTGAACATTGCAGCCCAGGGATCAAATGAGGACATAGTGAAAGCAACTGTTCCCCTGTGGAAGATTACAGAGTGATGGAGATTAATCATATTAGTCATATTAAGAAACCAAATGTCAGAACATTTTTCAGTTTCACAGAAATAAGAAGTATAAGGAAAAGAATAAAAGCCAAGAGCACAAAAACAGACACAAAGACCAATGAAATAGAACAGAAGACCCTGACACAAACCCACGCAAGTACAGGCACCTGATTTTTGACAAAGCTACCCAAAATATGTATTGAAAAACAAAAGACAGTCTCTTCAACAAATGGTGCTGGGAAAACTGGATTTCCACCTGCAGAAGCTAGATCCCAGTCTCTCACCTTATACTAGCATCAATTCAAAATGGATCAAAGATCTTAACATAAGATCTGAAACAGAGAAATTAATCCAGGAAAAAATAGGGAACACACTGGACCACATAGGCATAGGCAATAACTTCATGAATGGAACTCCAATAGCTCAGCAATTAACAGAAAGTATTAACAAGTGGGACTGCATGAAACTAAAAAGCTTCTGCACAGCAAAGGAAATGGTCATCAGACTGGAGACAGCCTAGAAAATGGGAAAAAATCTTTGCCAGCAATACAGCTGAGAAGGGATTCATAACCAGAATACATGGAGTTCAAAAAACTAACCTCTCAAAGAATCGACAACACACTAAATAAATGGACAAATGAACTGAACAGACAATTCTCAAAAGAAGAAGTACAAATGGCTAAAAAATATATGAAGAAATGCTCAACATTCTTGAGCATTAAATTAAGGAAAATGCATCAATAAAGGAAATGCAAGTCAAAACTACACTGAAATTTCACCTCATCCTAGTCAAAATAGCTATCAAAGCAACAAATGCTGGCGAGGATGGGGGTGGAAAGGAACCCTTCTACCCTGGTGGTGAGAATGTAAATTAGGGCAACTGCTATGGAAAGCAATATGGAGGTCTCTCAAAAAACTAAA